CGATTTCCATTCCAGTAATTAGAGATGATAGAAACTAGAGTCCAAAATACTAGATGACATTTGTCAAGTTTGTGTTAACCATAGTTTAATTATCTGGAATGAGGCTATTTATATACGGGCATGAGCACATTTCCCATCCTCCTATGTACTTTATTAAGTTACCACAGGATCAATTATGTTAAATTTAAATCAGGGTAGTCATCTGCAGCAATAGAGCTAAATTTGGACAATATAATTGTTAAAAAAAATGTTACAGTTTCCTATTGCTTTGTTAGGGTAAACACTGATAGTATAAGCAAGTAAATTTCACGTAAGTATCAAAGATTTTGCTTTTAAGAAAACTTCCTCTAAAAGGAACAAAGAACTTCCTTGCTCTGTCCTGGATTGTGGCAACTATCTATCATTTAAACTAACAATAATTTGCATTTTTCAAACATATAGATGTGCAGTAGTGACAAACTACGGAGACTTTAAAGTAAGAAGACTGATTTCATCACTCCACCAGAAAGAAAGAAAACACGGCACAGAAGCCAAGGCTCATTATTGCCTGTTATGTACATGAAATATGATCATATATCTAATTTTAATTAAATTAGTGGAAATTTAGTTGTCCTGTCCTCAGTCATTTACTTCTTTGTTCTTACTTTGCCCACCGTTTGGCAGGCTATCCTGGGACAGCAACTGAAAGGGGCAAACATGTTCTTTGGCTTGAAAAAAAATTGTGCATCCTGATTGCTATTATAAAAAGATGTTGAAACTCTAGAAAGAGTGCAAAGAAGAGCACCAAAGATGATCAGGGGACTGTAGGCTGAAAACATATGAAGAATAGTTGTAGGAATTTGCATATGTCTAGTTTAATGAAAAGAAAGGCTAGGAGTGACATGATAGCAGTGTTCCAATATCTCAGGGGCTGCCACAAAGAAGAGGACGTCAATTAAGCACCTGAAGGCAGGACAAGAAGCAAAGGATGGAAACTAATCAAGGACAGAAGCAATCTAGAACTAAGGAGAAACTTCCTGACAATTAGAACAATTAACCAGGGGAATAAGTTGCTTCCAGAAGTTGTAGGTATTCCAACACTGGAAGTTTTAAAGAAGAGATTGGATAATCATTTGTCTGAGTATAGAGTTTCCTGCCTGACCAGGGGGTTGGAGTAGAAGACCTCCAGGATCCCCTCCAACTCTGCTATTCTGATTTAAAGTATGATTTAAGTGTTACATTTGCTTGTTACATCAACATCAATATTGTCCCCTAGGAATTCAGAGCAACATATACAGCATTATTCTCCAATTTAATTCCCTCTACAACAACTCTTTTGAGGCTAACAACTAGCCCAAAGTCATCCAGGGACTTTCTATACTAATCCCACTATTATATAACCGAAATGATACTAAATATTTATCTTCCAATTTTTGTAATTGCCTCAAGATTAAGATTAACTTTCTATTTGAAAGTAAATCCTTTTGAGAGTACTAGAATATTATCTTTAGAACTAAATCCAGGAAAACTTTCTGCTGATTACACATTCATAAGAAGGCATTGTTTATATAGGAATAGGGCTATTTGTACTCATTATTAAAAGTAATTAAATTTTCAGAGTTCAAGGCAACTCAGCTTCCATCAGAGAAATTGAATCAGAGACTTAACTAAGCAACACTGTGGGTTCTGTGAAAACGCAGAGCACACAATTCCTCTCCCAAACCACTGAAAAATCTTATCTGGACATCCTTGTCTTCTAAAATTCCAACAAACTGTGATCCCACTTTCAATATATCTTGAAGGTCTAATCTTGAATGTAAGAACTCTTTATCTTTTAACATCATAAAAGCTGAAATTCATAGGAAACTGGATTCTACTTTTAAAGTGGGTTCTACTCTTTTTAAGTGCTCTGGTAGAATCAGAGCACAGATGTTGGATATAAACTATGATATAAAACAAGATTTCAGAAAGCAAGACTAATGGGAAGACCAATGGTAGCTTAAATATGCCTTCAAAGTACATATAAGATTAGAAGAATACAATTTAATGAATATTATGTTTTTGTCTAGCAGTGAAAAATTGGCTCAATAGTTAATTCCCTGCAATATACATAAAAAACATTTCAGTTTCACCATTTGAAGGCATTATTTATAAAAAATCGAGAGCACCACATTAAAAAATTCACAGTGAAAAGTATAGGTTATAAAATAACAGAAAATGAATCATTTACCAAAAGAATTGAGTGCAGCTTTTCACCTGTATCGATATCAATACAGAGATGAGTGAGGCTATCAGTGTCTTTGTGTCAACTGACACTTACCTTTCCAATCAATTCCTGCCTTTTAAAAAACATTACAGGTAGTTCTTGACCTACAACCATTCATTTAATGACCAAAGTTACAATGACACTGAAAAAAGTGACTTATGACCAGTTCTCACACTTATGACCATTGCAACATCCCCACAGTCACCCAATAAAACTTCAGGTGCTTGGCAACTAGCCTGTATTTATGAGGGTTGCAGTGACCCAGGGTCCCGGGACTGTCATTTGCAAGTCAATGAGGGAAGCCAAATTTGCTTAACAAGTACATGATTCACTTAACTGTAGCAATTCATTTAACAAGCATGGCAAAAAAGGTCATAAAATGGGACATGACTTACTTAACAACTGCCTTGCCCAGTAGCGGAAATGTTGGGTTCAATTGTGGCTGTAAGTCAAGGGCTACCTGTATTTGCTTTTTAAAGCAGCAAATAAAGCAAACTCTTAAACAGAATTTACATGCGTTTGTGAGATTTTTCACTAAATTACAGTACAAATGTTAATAATGCAGTATTTATAGATAAACCAAAATGCATGTGCACTCTGCTCTCTCTCCCCCCTCTCTTTGTATATATAGTAAGATGACCTAAAAATATACACATTCTATTTAACATTTAGTTCACATTCATTTACTGTCTCAAAAGAAATAAACTTCCAATAATCTATAATTCATTCTGCTATCCACAACATTTTAAGAATTAGTAAGATAGAATGAGGAAGAAGAGAGTGGCATACTACTATCCTCCTATTTTTTTTCTCGTATTTCTTCCCTCGGATTACATAGGACTCAAATACATACATTTACATTTCTCTTGTAAAACCAATAATCTCAAAATAAGAACCAAAAATATGCATATATTTCTAAACTTTACAGCCTAAGGCTATTGTAATTGATAGAATAAACAACCACAACATAAATTGTAGAAGTTGTTGCACTGGAATATTTGAAAAAGTGAGATAAGAAACAAAGTTTAGTTGAAAAATAGGATCTTGGCATCCATAAGTTTGTGCTAGTCCATATTTGGAAAACAAGCAATACTTGGGAAAAGTCCATTTGGCACTATGCACTGAATAAAAATCCTTGAAGGAATATCAAATGACACTTGGTTAAAATGACTGCTCAAGGTATACTGCCATGTATCAAATTATACTTTTTTAAATAATAAAGTATGCTTTGTCTGATTATTGGTAAAAACCAGCAGGTGCACACAAATGGATTTTTTCCCCAAACCCAGCTGAGTGCACATATTAAAAAGGGTATGTTCATCTAAAGAAAAGAATGTACAGTTGGTCATTTTTTTTATCAGGCCTGCTTATGATTCAGCACATACCATAATAATGTGTACTATGTAAATTATTTTAGTTAATACACAGTAGTGTTCCCAGCTTTAAAAAAAAGTGTTTCCTATGTAGTTCTGAAACCCCAACTTTGTTCATCTTGACCCAAACTAATTTTTAAAAAGTTACAATTTTAGTCAGGGTACAGTAAATATTTTTGGTAATGCTAAATACTCACTTGCAATTAGGCCAGGCAGCTCAATAGATCTTCATATTTAAGAAAATGGTTAGTTAATGCCCAAATATTGGATTCAGAGGAAGTCTCTATCTCCATAGGAGCCTATAATCTTTAAGCTCTGCATCTGAACTTCCCTGAGGCATCAACTTGTTTGTTTTTGGAATAAAAATGGACGATTGATTAGATGTAATTTGTTGAAATAAACATTTTCCAATGATCCATATCAGTATCAGTTTCTATATCTATTTCCCCTGCTCGGAACCTGGACAAATTATCAAAAGTAAAAGCAGCACTTGAATATTCGTCAAATGGTGTAAGTTGCTTTACAGCAAGCAACACGCTTCACCATTCTCTGATCCATCTAATCCAATACTTATTGGCAATGGTTGATTTTTTTCCCCTAGCCTTAGCTGGAGATGCTGGAATTTAACTTGGAATCTCCTGCACACAAACCATGTTCTTTTCCACTGTGCAGGATATTTTTGCCCCTGCAGATTTTGGCTAATGCATCAGGTCAAAATAATAAACTGTTTTCTGAAATAATAGGTAGTTTCTCTCTTGTCACTCTTTCCTATCTATCTATAAATCTATCTATATATTTAATCAAATAGCGTCTCAATGCATTTGAAAATAGACTAGCACAAATACCTGTAAGATTGGGATGCCATATTCTAGCACTAGACGAAATAAAGAACAAAAAAATATGGCTCATTGTATTAAATACACATCCAGTTTTTGTTCTTTTTGATTGTTCTTTTTTAATTTTTTAGAAGAGGGAAAGGATAGAAATCCTAGGCTATGAACTTTTCGCTATCATTCCATTTTTATTTTTGTTCTAAGAATTGTTTTATTGTATTACAATAAACTAATACTACGCTTCATTAAAAGGCTTTAATCTGACACATGTAAGTAGAAATGTTTGATGTTTTCTGGCAGACCACACATAAATACTCAAAATTTATTTTCACTATATTTTGCATTTCTCAAAAAGCTACATCTTTTAAAAAAACCTTGCAAAGAAAAAATAAGTGGCCCTAGAAACAAGAATTTCCGTCATGCCTGCTACTTAACTACACATTGTAGATTTAAGACTGATTAGTCTAGGATCAATTTTTCAAGTATTTCTGCTATTTATCAGTCTGACTATAGCACCTTATTGCACATTGTTTGAGAAATGTATCATTCTTATGGGAACCAGAATCGTCGTCGGCATCTCACTGACCTAAACCCTGGTAAAATCACTTTCCCTTTTCGATACAAATCCTCCTTGATTCCTGTGTTCATCCTCTGCACCAGCAGTTTCTCATAAAGCAAAGGGTGATAAGCCCCCAAGGTACAAGCTGCATCATGGTAGAGTTCATGGTAGTGGCAAAGATCAGTTTGTCGGATGGAGGGAATATATTCGTAGACGTGGACTTCACTGCACATGGACATCATGATGAAAATCCCTAAAAATGAAGTACATACATAACTGCAGTTTCGCCACAGACTGTAATATGCACTTACAATATCAACTCAATGACTATGGAGATTCTGTCATCCAGATCATAATTGTCCCAAATATGCTTCTTCATGAGGGAATTAGACTTTCTTGTTTTTCTGTGAAGACATTTTGCTTCTCATCCAAGAAGCTTCTTCAGCTCTGACTGGATGGTGGGGAATGGAAGGATTAATACTCCTTGCAGACAGCTGGTCATTTGCATTCTTTTAGAGAGTCATTGAGGCCACTTGAGGTTTATCTGTGTCATCAGGGTCACCTGATTAGTGCAAATGGGTGTGGAGCCTTCTTGGAGTTGTTGAAAGAACTTTATTGTAGACTGGAGATAGATGACGTACGTTGCTCAGTTTGTGTCTGAGTGTTTTATCCTTGGGGTGGGCAAGGTTCTGCCTTAGTGTATTCTTGGGTTTGAAGTGTGTACGTATGTTGTGTTGGCTGAAGATCCTCCTGAGCTTTTCCGATAATCCTGCACCATATGGAATGACTATGCTTCTTCCTTTATTTTCTTCTTTGTCTGTTATGGAGGAGTTCATGCTGGGTCTTTTTTGGGATTTGATGAAGGTCCACTTGGGAGAGCTGCAAGTTCTGAGAGCTTCTTTGATGTATTTTAGTTCTTTTTCTTTCCCATCTTTGCTGGTAGGCAGATCTTCCTATCTCCAGTCTACAACACAGTCCTATCAGCAGTTCCAAGAAGGCTCCACACCCATTTGCACTACTTAGTGACCTTGAGGACACAGATAAACCTCCAGATGGCTCAACCACTCTCTAAAGGAATACAAATGACCAGCTGCCTGCAAGGAGTATAAATCCTTCCATTCTCCACCATCCAGCCAGAGCTGAACAAGATTCGTGGATGAGAAGTGAAACGTCTTCAAAGAAAAACAAGGAAGTCCAGTTGCCTTGTGAAAAAGCATCTTTGGGATAATATCAAATCCCTTTTTCTTTTCATGGCTGCATATACAAATGTCAAATCAAACATTTCTAAATGGAATTGGCTTTCACAAACTTAAGGTAAAAACATTTTACCATACCTATTACTAATACATAGTTTGGTTACCAGGACAAAATCATGCTCCAACCCAGTTATAATAGCAACTATCAGAAACCAGAGTCACCAACACATCTGGGTGATGCTAACTTTGGGAGCATGAAGTACTATATAAGCATAAAAATAACATAACTGTTTATTAGAATGAAAAGTAAAATATGATATTAAATTCTGTGCTACAAAATAAGCATAATCATTTGATTTGTTAAAACAAATGTAGCAAATCTCTGCATTATTTTTAATCAACAAGGCATTTGATTTTCTCATCTGACTTTAAAAATAAACATGATCCAGTAAAATGTTGAACTTTTGAAAAGGACATAATGCTCCCATTGCATGCACTGTTTTTGTATAGGCATTTCTTTCAAATACCTATAAATCTTCTGACTAAAGAAGTCTCCGATTTACAACTGGTCGCTTAGCTTTCAAAGTTATTTTCTATTTTTATTTTATTAAACAAAAGTTAAAATAAAAAACTCCAAAAATTTTAAAAAACAACAAAAAACACAAAACAAACAAGACATTTAAAAAGTGCATTAAAAAAAACCACAAACTCATATACACATATTATCCTCCCTAGTTGAATACTGATAAATATATTACAACAATATTGGTTTCCACCCCTTCCACCACTCAAATTTTTTAAAAACTATTAATTCTATTTGCAGATTAGTAACCTGTGATCTATCTACTGTATTAATGACAAAACAGTTAACAGGTAAAAAAATAATAAAAAAGCAAAATTAAAACTTAAAAATCCTCTGTGAATGAACTGTTATTGTAATAAATTTGTAGAAACTTTACCACTGCTTCTTATCTATCCCAAATCTCCTGCTTAGCTTTCAAAGTTATGATGGACCTTTTCAGAGGTACTTATGACTCAATTCCAAACTTTCAATGGCTGCCCAATCTGATGGTCACATGACCACATTTTGAGTGCTTGGCAATTGGACTGCATTTATGGCAATTTTCAGAGTCCCATGCAGTGGTGGGATTCGGCCAGTTTGCAGCACTTCGGCAGAACCGGTAGCTAATTTTTCATTGCCAAGGCCCAGAATGGACTTCCAGAAGCAGCATCCACACAGAGAACCGGTTGTTCACATATTTGAATCCCACCATTGGTCCTATGGTCATGCAACTGTGTTTTTTGATGTTTCTGCAGAAAAGCAGCCCATAACCAACAATTGGTTTGCTTAACCGCTGCAAAAAAGATTGTAAAATTAGGTTGGCTACAGGGTGACCCTCTCTACAAATATCACAACCTATGACTGAAATGGGCAGGCTCCATTACAGTTGTAACGTGAGGACTACTTGTATGTAAACAATTATGCTTTGAATTTAAACTATGATAAAAACAAAGATATGGAAAAATAAAGTTTAACCCATCTGTTTATAATCCAGCTGGATATCAGTACATGGAAAAGTGTCTGAATTGCCTTATCTTTAAGAATGCAGCAACATTTGCTGACAGTGAATAGCAATAGCATTTAGACTTATATACCGCTTCACAGTGCTTTACAGCCCTCTCTAAGCGGTTTACAGAGTCAGCATATTGCCCCCAATAATCTGGTCCTCATTTTACCGACCTCAGAAGGATAGAAGGCTGAGTCAACGTTGAACTGGTGAGAATCAAACTGCCAAACTGCTGGCAGCACAACTGCTCCTTTTTCTTCCAATATTTTTTTTATTTTTATTAACAAAATTAAAATACAAACTCAAAAACAGAAAAAAAGCAAGAACAAAGCAAAGCTAAAAAGACATTAAAAAGTGCATAAAAAACAACAACACATATACATGGATTGTCCTTCATAATTGAATAGTGATAACTATATTTCAAGAATAATAACATTTCCTGACAGTGAATGCAACTTGTTAACAGCTGCTCCTTTCTGTAGCAGCTCAGCTAGTGGACATATCCACTTTATGACAGCTGATGTAAGAACTTTGGAAGTGCCATTCTGGTCGGACCTCTGGCCCATCTAACCCAGTAATATCTTCACATGGTAGCTAACCAATTGCCCAATGACGCCCATGTCATTCATTCATTCATTCAGAATATAGGCAATAGTGATTCGACAGGTTCCATACTCAGAGGACCAATTCTTTTGGGCTTCTTGGATGAACTCTAGATGAATGGATTGACTTCCAAGGCTTTCTTGGTTCCTCCTTATGTTCCAGGAATGATGGCTATGAAAATTGTATAGACTAGAGGACCTCCGAGGGCTACCTGGATCTTGCTTTAATTAGCCTATCTACTTTAAGATGACAATGTTTCAGGGTGAGATTTTGTTGCCAAGGCTTTAGATTGGCTAAGATGCCCGGGGGGGGGGGGGGGGGGGATTCAGGGACCAACATCATAGCCTGAAAATATCTGGAGGCTGCAGAAAGGCAATTCTTTTGTTTAAGGGGTTTTCCACACTGCAGACTTAAGATGCTCGAGTCCCATGTGTAAACTAGCTAGAAATAAAACTGGTTTAAGAAACCCCTTTCTGGATTTCAATTCCTTCCCCAGCTTTGTAATCAGAGCTTCAAAGTGATTTTCTGCTTTTTTTACTTTTATAATATCATCAGAGCTGTAAGACAGAGTTATGGGGGAGTGCACACTCATGTATCTGCTTATGTAAACAAACTAAGGGTCTCCTAGCTACAGTATGTTAAAAATAAAGCGAGGAAAAACTTCACAAGGAGGTCTTTATGTGCTGAAGGTTCAATTCCAGAAGACCAAAGTATGATAAGGAGGCTCTGAAGGCTACTTCTTTTTCACTGCTACTACAACAATAGGCCTGGACCTCTGACCTTCTTAGTCATCACATAGTATCTCTTCCAGATGAGAAGAGGGCTGCTGCTGCTTTTCATGGCTCTGCTGGTATGGACCAAGGTGATTACTGAAATGTTTTTCATCTCATTCATATACTGATTCAACATACAATTTAGCAAAAAAAAAAAAAAAATCAGTAGAGTCCCCACCACTGGAAGTTGTTAAATGTAGCCACCTGTTAAGCATGCATTTAATCCTGTTTGGACTATGATAATCTTTCAATGTATGCCTTATGTCAGAGGTCCCAACCTCCAGGTCCATGGACCGGCACCATTCTGCGGCATGTCAGAAACTGGGCCACACAAAGAAGCAAAGCCCCACGGGATGCAGGAAGCATTTGAAACCACGCCCCCTCCAGTCCGCAGAAAAACTTCTCTCCACGGAACCAGTCCCTGGTGCCCAAAAGATTGGGGGTCGCTGCCTTGTGTGATTCCTTTAACATATATGTAACCATTGAATATTTTCAGGCAGATTATCTTTCTCTCTTTCTCTCTCTCTCTGAGAAGATTTAATAATAATAATAATAATAATAATTTAATTTGTACCCCGCCCTTCTCCTCATAGGACTCAGGGT